TGAGTCAGCTATTTCATTGCTGCGGCAACCAAAAGAACTTACAAGAACAATCAGAGGAGAAAAACTGGTTTGGGGGCTCATGGTTTCAGAGGGTCTCAGTCCACAGGGTCTCAGTCCACAGACCACTGACTCCATTCCTCGGGGCTCAAGATGAGGCAGAATATCATGATGGAAGAGTGTGGTGGAGGAAAGCAGGTCAGGACATGGTCACCAGGGAGCAGCAAGAGCTCCACTCAATAAGGACAAAATATATACCCCAAAGGCCCACACCCCAGGGGCCCACCTCCTCCAGCAACACTCTACCTGCCTACAGTTACCACTCAATTAATCTTTATCAGGCAATTAACACACTGATTAGGTGAAACCTCTCATAACCCAACCATTTCACCTCTAAACCTTCTTGCATTGTCTCACACATGAGCTTTTGGGGGATACCTAGTATCTAAAACCTAACAGTGGCCATCCAGTCCTGCAGCACTGCAGTCCTGATGATGCTCCCAGCCTGACCATGAGGAACAGATGGCCTACAGGGACTTGGCCAACTGACCCAAACGTCGACCTCCCACTACTGCTTTCTGGCCATGTGGCTTTGATGAAGGAACTTGGCCTCTCTGGGCCTCAGCTCTTCAGTTGCAGGATGGAGATAATACCTGCCTTGAACAGGGTGAACAGCAGCATATCAATGCAGCGAGTCTCCAGGTAGGTCCTGGACTAGAAGTGCCATGCAGAAACCAATGAGAAATGCAAATCCCTAGGCCCTACCCTAGACCCACTAAATCTAAATGGACTGGGAGAGCTAAAGGGTGAGGACCTGCATTTTAACAGGCCTTCTAGGTGAGTCTGAGTCATACTGACCTTTGAGAACCACTGAGCTACTGTCTTAAAGCTTAGTTGCCATTGTTAGAAATAGCCTACCTCATCCTTTCTCTGCAATGCAGATAACAATGTTCTACTTGCAGTGTGTTCCGTGACTATCATCATGGCAGTGAAGATGGTGATAATGATGAGGATAAAAGTGGCAGTTTCTCTATCTAGAGTGACTGGAAGAGGGACAGGGACCAGAAGATGTCCTAATTCATGGCTGAGAATTTATGACTAACTCTGAAGAGTGTTGCTTCTATAGCCATCCAGGACATAAAGGCATAAAGTGAGGTGTTTTTAATGCAGAACTTTATTCTATATTTGTCATGATGGAATTTTCCATCATTCACCCAGGAAGCATTAACCATTTAAGGGGTAGCGTTTTGAGAATCCAGCCACTGAGACTTTACCTGGCGGTAGGAAGAATGCCTGGATCCTGAAAAGGATCCTTTGTCTCCACATCTGGCTGAGCTTCCAACAGCCCAAACAATGAGTAGTCACTTAACCCAAGAAGGGCTCTGAGTAGATAGGGGTACAAGCCCAAGTCTTGGAAGACCCAGGGAATCTCAGGCTCTGGGTTCCTTAACATTTCATGGAAGCTTTCTGTCTCTCCCACTGGAGGAACCACTAGAACATGGCCTCCAACCAGCACACTTGCCAGGAGTGTCTCCAACCCTAACCTTCCTTGTGCCTATGTATCAAGCATTTGCCTGTTCGTTCTCTGATTCATTCCCTGCCCTTTACCTGCAAACTACATTTTCTAGATCACTTGCCAACTAGCTCCAGCTAGGTTTGGGTGGAAGACTGGGGGATGCAGAGAAAGATGGAGCCTGAGCATCTCCTTCCCTTCCTCCCTCTGCTGTTTATGACCTCCTCAGCAGTGACGCTATGGTTTGAATGTGCCCTCCAAAGTTCAGGTGTTGGAAACTTTCTCCCCAATGCAAGTGTTGAGGAGCAGGATCTTTAAGAGGTGACGAGGTTCTGAGGGTGGAGGAATGGATTAATGCTATGATCATAGGAGTAGGGTCATTATTGAGTGAGTGGGTACCTTATAAAGAATGAGTTCATCTCCCTTCCTTCTCTCTCACACCTTCTCATCTTCATCACGGAATGCTAGCCCCTTGGACTTGGACTTCCCAGTTGCCAAACCATGAGCCAAACAAATTTCTGTTTATCATAAATTACCAAGCTGGGATATTCTGTTATAGCAGCACAAAACAGACTAAGAGAGGTGGCTTTGTCTTTTTTTTTCATGGTTCCAGCTCTGCCAGACAGTCTTCCCTCCATGGTTCCAGATGCTTCTGAGATCCTCCAAATATATCCAACTCTTGGCTTCTGGTAATACCACCACCTCCTCTCTCTGTTCCACCAGGCTTTGTGTTGTAGTGGCTTCCTGCTGTCATGAATCTTGGAGTGAAGTCATCCCTGTTTGGTTTGTTGGATATTTCAAAGATCATCATAACTAAGTCCCTGCGTTAAGGTTATTCTGTTTGACGGTACAGGCCATGACCAATGCAGCCCTCCGTCTTGACCAGGTATTACCTAAGACCTACCCAGCTGACTCAGTTCCTTATCTGAGACTTTTCCTGGACCTGTCTTCTCCAGGGAGCCCCTGTTCACTTCTAGATCTTTAATTCTTACCTGTTTGTGAGCAACCAGTTTTGACACCACCCATGTGACTGTGTCCTGACCCAGCGTAAGCCTTGACCACCTAGACTTGCTACCCCTCCAACTCCCGCTCTCCTGGGGCCAGCCAACCTCCACTGGTATCTTCCATCTGACACTCCCTGAACTCAGTGTATACCGTTTTGCAAACATCTAAGTCAATTCCAGGCAAAGGGACATTTTTAACTTGAAAATAACTACATAACTGGCCTGAAACTCACCTGGTATTTTCATAAGTTTCTACTTCTTTTTTGGCTACAAAGGCACAACAGATGTACAAACTAGAATCAGAACACAGTGTTCCAGAAAATGATTATGCTCTTGGCAACTACCCACATAAGTGCAGTAAGTACAGTATAATGACAGTCCTCCCTGGATGCTTCTTGTTTTGTAGAGAGATTGGTCCCATTTCAAGTCTTGCCTTCCAAAAGGAACCGTTGAACCATCCTTAACAACTAACCTTAGAAAGCTCAACTCTCTTAATTAATGTTTCAAAAAGTTAAAAAAAAAAAAAAAACAGAGACAACCGCATATAATGAAGACCGTGGTGTTGCTGACTTGGGAGTGGAGCCAGGACTGGCAAACGCAGTGACTTTTCTAAGCCTCCAACACTATATTTATCCTTGTTTCATACTGCACTGTGGCTTTGGAAATATGAAATGAGTGCCCATGAGGTCTTCTAGAATAGGGAAGGGCATGGGTTTCCTTAACTGTGAAGTGAGCTGCTGGAAGGGATCAACCACCTTAACATGGGCTTCTGAGCCCTTCTTGATTGCTCAGCTATTCCCAGTTTACCCTTAAGAAAATGCAGGCAGCTATCCGAGATGCAGCCATATCAAGGAAAAGAAAGGAAAGATAAAACCCAGGCACAGTTTTGCAGGTTGTTTTCTAAAGCAACCCATTGCACAAATGTGCAAAGCACTGCATTAGTTTGTAGCAGGCTTCCCGGGCAGCCCAGACGGTCCACCAAGGCACCATGTCTGTAACTAGCAGCCAAGATCCCTCTCATCCAACAAACCCTGAGATGACACCCGGTGCCCACAGGCCAGCACAGCCCCCCACCTAAGGCTTGCTGCTCCTCTGCTCGCTCGTATTCGGACACCAAGAGGTTCTAGTAACGTAAAGGCACTGTTCATGGTGATGTAGGATCCCAATAAAAATCTGCCTATATAAACGTCAATCAAAATGCATTGGTTCCTAAAACCACGGGCTTCATTTCAAGTTTCTACAGAATTGGAAATCATTTGAATCACAGGGTTTTAATTTAATTTGAACATCTCTTATTTCTTCCCATTCAAGTGCCTGGATGGTTTCATCCCTAAAAACCTAAGAGGAGGAAACAAACTGGCAAGTTTTAGCATTTGAGTTTGGCATTGCTGGTTCCCGTCTCCGCCGCACCATTAACTCACCATATGACAAGAGTGTGTTTCACGGTCTCTCTCTTGGCCTCAGTTTCTTCCTTGTACAATGAGGAGGTCATAAGGTCAAAGATCCCTTCCAGGTCTAAAATGCTCACATTTAATTGACTATACAAGTGATTCCAGAATAATAACTTAAGAGAGGCAGATTTAATTCAAGGCAAAATTAAAATATGATGGAATTTAAAAAAAAAAAAAAACACTGGCTTTTAGATTTCTAAAATTATTTTAGAGGAAAGCCTGTGAATTTAAAAGGAACAACAATGTCAAGACAAAGGAACATGGGTGATTTAGAATCGCCTCCAAAAGTGACTAATGTTTCACATGATGTAATGCACGTGTTAAAAAAAAAAAAAAAACAACTGGAGTCAAAAGCTTCTTCCTTCAGTACAGAAAATTTTGTAATATTTCTAAGTAATCTAGCCTGACAGCCTTTGAGGAAGAAAAAAATCAAGCATTGCGCTGCATGAGATTTCCTTCTGTCACCAGGCCATTAGAGCTAATGAAAAACGATGGCATTGTTAAGAGTTATTTACAGTTTCTTCTTAATAAAATGAAAAATGAACAGGAAAAAACTCTGAATATAAATTTTTAAAGACTTTAAAGACCCAAACCAGTAGCAAAAATATATGTGTAGACACAGGCCTCCAAACAGCCTTTTATTTATTTATTATTTATTTTTTATGTGCAGGAAGGATTGATGAGGGTAACTGCTGAGCTTTCCTTTCTCCCCAGCATCATGAATAAATAGATATCCTGTATCCCAACCCACTGCCATCAGGAATTTTAGATCCAGACAATAAAAAAAAAAAATATTCTATCTCCAATCCATTGTAGTTTCTACAGTTTATACTAAAGAAACACTGGCTGACCCCCATATATTCTAGGAAAGCAAGATGCAGTTGTGTGTCATATATTTAAAGTCACTTACCTTCAAACCAACCAACTATTCATTCTATTAAACCACATTTAGAAAAAAAAAAAGAAAGAAAGAAGAAAAAAACATAATTTATTAAGCACCTACTGGGCTCAGTGCTTTAAAAAAGTTTATCCCATTTAATCAGACAAGTGTGCCCAAAACATGTCTATAGTTTTAAATTTCCCAGTCTGTCACAGTGTAGAATGGTAATAACAGCAATATTGTTATTGAGTTAACACCTTGGAGCAGTGGTCAGCCAGCTTTTCCAATACAAAGCCAAACACCAAATATTCCAAGCTTTGTGGGACAAGGGGCAACATTGAAATACTTATACAACACAAGGGCAAACCATAGCCTCAAATTTGATGTCGATAAAATTCAAAATAAGTAACAACAATTCAGTGGAATTTTTTATAATACTGGCCTACTAATGAGGAAGAATGGAAATCTTCTGGGTGAGATAACATTTATATTAATTGGGGTTCAAAGTGAGTGCTCCCTATTATCAGACTGCAAATGTGCATCTGTAATGGTTATTCTTCTCAGGAGCCACATAAAACACAGGCAGCTGGCTAGATGCACTTGTAGTTTGTGGACCTTGCTTTAGACCTTATGAAATTCTTTCACTAGTTTTCCATTCAACTACTACTAATTTCATTCTTTGAGTTACTCCTTCAAAAATATTTGATGCATATGTACTATGTGCCAAGTGCTTTCCTGAACCACGTGGTTGCTAAAATGGGCAGGAGGCAGGCCGGTTCCTGTACCAGGGATAGAAATCAGGTCTCTCCTCCAGGGATTCACTGTTTACTAGGAGAGAGTGACATTTATCACACAAATGGCACAGAATAGATGGCACTCCATGATGAATCCCACAATTTCACCTCTGGGTCTGTACCGACAGGTATTGACAGCAGGGTCTCGGAAATATTCGTGGGCTCAGGCTCACAGCTACACTCATCACCAGAGCCGAGGGGTGGAAGCAACCCAAGTGTCCACAAAAGAATGAACGGATGCACACGACGAAATATTAAAAAAAAAGAAATTCTGAGACATGCGTCAACATGGGCGAAGCCTGAGGGCAGGATGCGAAGTGAAATAAGCCAGTCACAAGAAGAAAAATGCTGTTTGATTCCCCTCGTAGGAGGGGCCAGGAAGAGGCATATTCACAGGTATGGAAAATAGAATGTGGTTCCCAGGGGTGGAAATAATTAGTGTCCAATGGGGACAGTTTTCACCTTGTAATTTTAAGAATTCTGGAGATATATGGTGGTGAAGGCTGCAAAAAAGACAAAAAAAAAAATGTGAATGTGGTTAATGACACTAAACTGCACCCTTGGTAACTATTAACCTGGTACAACTTTATGTTGTGTGTGTTTCACCACAGTGAACAATAAAGCATAGGCCTTATCTATCGTTTTAAAATTAGGAACAAGGCACAGAAAGATCAAGTCCCTTTTCTAGTGACATAAATCATCTACTGGGCCCATAGCCTCCCCTTCTAGGTGTGCCATCTTCTCAGTGCTTGTGGGTTTGCTTCCAACTTTGACCTTTGAACGTGAGGTCCGCCAGTCCCCATACCTGTGGCCCTGGAGACCTTCCTGATGTATAATCCCAGGCTGGTGACGTCTCTCCTCCACAGAATCGGGCTAATCACTTTCCTTCTCTGCACCTGGAGTGTTTTACGTTAGTGTCGACCTGTCGGGGGGGTGGAGGGAGGAGAAACCGGGCACAGACCAGATGACAAAGCCCTCCTCGGCATGGACCAGACAGCACCCAGAGTACACTGTCAGGCATAAACTAAACTCCCTGTCTCCAACTTTAAAACATCGTATGTCCCCACCTTTCTGTTAACTGTCTCTATCTTCTTAAAACTCTTAAAACCCAAAACTCAAACAAATGCTAAAAATTAGATTATTAGACTAGCCGACAATGTCAATTTGGGAGAATATGATGAACTGCTAACTTAGAAAGGTTCCAACCGGATTCCTTAAAAAGCTAGAGACAGTCTTCCTAGAGTGAGGTCCCACTGGGGCGTGACCACCCTCCCCTTTTTTCTTAGTCACAAACATTCTATTCTGGAACTGGGCAAACTTTCTTGAAAGAAATTATCTTTCCCAACATCTGCTGAATATAGGGATGGCCCATGAGATGTCAGTGGAAGTCCTAAGGTTGGTTTTTAGAGAAGAGTTTGAAAAGGCGCTTACTCAACTTATGGGTAGCCTTTTGGCATTCCACCCTATCTTCTTCTCCCCCGTTGAGACAGATGTGTGGCTGGAGCTGCCACACTTATCTTGAGCTCATGAAGAAAAGGAAACAAGAGAATTTCAGCTATCCTGATATCTTCAAGACACCAAAGCAGTGCTGTCAACAGGCCATCTCCAGCCTTCTTATTAAGAAAATAAATCCGTAGGAGTTTAAGACCATGTAGTTGGGGGTCAGTTACTCCCAGGCTTTCCATCTCAGACCCTGTCACACTCCTCTCTGGCTGCCTGGAGGCCCATCTTCTCCCATCCCTCCCCCATCTCCATCTACCTACCCACACCAGACCTGCTCCTCAAAACCCACTTCAGTGGGTGCTAACTCATAGGTAGATAGGAGAAATGAGTTCAGGTGCTGTGCTGCACAGAAGGGTGAATAATAATAATAATAATAACAACAACAACAACAACTATAGTTTTTAAAGCTAGAATTTTCAAATGTTTCATCACAAAGAAATGAGAAATGTTTAAGGAGATATATATGTTTAGCTTATTTGAACATTACACAACGTATATGTATTTTGAAACATCACATGGTACCCCATAAATGCGAACACGTTCATGGGTAATTAGAAAACTAAATATATATTTTTAAAAGATAAAATGAAGAAAAGCAAAAATTTTTGGATTAATATATAAAGGACATGTCATTATTGTACAGTGGAATATCTGATCTGAGAGTGGGCATATTCTTCTATTTAACTTTCTATTCAAGCTGTTTTATTAAAATGATTATTCTTTTCATAAAAATGTAATAAAATCTTAAAATGAAATTCATAGGGAAGAAAAAAAAGAGCTCAAGACCCACGGCTCACAGGCCTCATTAACCGCCCCTTCCGGACAACGGCCGTGGATCTACTTCTGGAGGAAATGTCCTGGGCTTCAGGGTCTCCCCAAGGAGAACAGTCCTGAGCAGTCCCCACGTGGACCAGGGCCAAGGATGGGACCCCCTCACCTCCTACTCCCCATCCCACTTCTAATGTGCTTTCATTTTCCTTTGTAGGTCATGGAACCAAAATGATCCCCATGGACGTCAACTAAAATTACTCCACGAATAGGAGACTTATCACCTAAGGATGCATGAGGAAAAGGAGGAAGAGAAGCCATGAGAAAGTGCTTATCCGTGCCTGTGGGGCCACCCAATACGAGGCCACTGCCTCTCTGACCTATTGAACCCCAACAGCCCAAGTCAGAGCAATCCAGGAGGCCACCGGCTCCAGGTTGATACCTCTTAAGAAGGGCCTTATCTCTTATGGGTTTTTTTATCACTCCCAACAGGCGGCTGGCCAGATGTGCTTGTAGTTTGTGGACCCTTGCTTTAGACCTTATGAAATTCCTCCGGAAACTGGAGGACTGATTCCTCTGGACTACAGGCACCTTGCACAGGAAAACCCAAGTTCAATCGATACAAAGAATTCTCCCATGACTTAGAGGTCACATGATGGAGACACAGTTACCAGATTCATTTACTCAGAAGGAATTCTCAACCAACTCATGCACAATATTCAAACCTAGAGCTCCTTAGTCTGGTTAATCTCAGCTCCCCCAAGGGACGTTACAACTAACAGTCTTCAGGAAATTGGCATTCACTGACTTTTCCCCTCATCTCACACAGTGTGCGTGGATACTGCTGCCCCATCTCTCCTAACAGCTCTCAGCTCCATGAGGGCAGCACCTGTCTCTTAGTTGCTATTTTAGACCTCAGTAAGCCCAATTCACAACACAGCACGTGGGTTGTTGTTTTTCTTTTTCTTTTTTTTTATGTTTTTGATGAATTAAAGGAGGAGAATGCTCTGAATTAACCACATTTAGTGGCTAATTAGGCAATTCAGTTGCTCCTTCTCACCCTCTTCTCTCCCTCCCTTTCTCTCTCTCCATTTCCCCCAACCTCTGAAAAACAAAGCACTAGAGGAATATGCTGCCTAAGAGCAGAGAAGAAAGTGTTTGAATAACACACTCTCTGGATGCCCTGTTTTATAGTTCTCAATAGAGGAGAAATTTTTAGTGGCATACACGAACGCTAGCTTTTTAATTTAAAAGCAGATTTCCACTAAATCAAAACCAGAACAAGAGTACACCTCACATCTGTCATATGATAACAAGTGTGGTTAAGGACCTGGGGAACTGGGAATCGTTATCCACTGCTGGTGGGCATGTAAATTGGTGCAGCCATAATGGAGAACAGTATCAAGCTTCCTCAAAAAGTTAAAAATAGAGCTACCATATGATCCAGTAATCTCATTTCTGGGTATTTATCCAAAGGAAATAAAATCACTTTCTCGAAAAGACATCTGCACTGCTATGTTCACAATGGCATTGTTTACAATAGCTAAGACATAAAAACAACCTAAGCGTTCCTGGATGGATGGATGGATGGATGAATGGATGGATGGATGGATGGATGGATGAAAAAAATATGGTCTGTGCCTACAGTAGGATTCTGAAAAGGGGGCACTTTCATGGCTGCTGTGGTGCATGAACCAAAGTCTGGCTCAGTCCATATCTGTGTTGTCACCAACAGAATTTCCTCTGCATCCTCAAAGGAAGTGTTACTTCCTAAAAGGAAAACAGCAGCGGAGGCCAGCTGAAACCTCGGGGAGCACTCAGGCCACCGCAGTGCGGACGGTCAAGCAGTTGAAAAACGCAGGCACTAAAATCAGAACCTAGAAGACACTGAATCAGGTTTAAAGGAGTCCACAAAACACCCAGAAGCACCTCACTCAGCCTCCAACCACCAGGAGTGAAGAGGAATCATTTTAATGGGGGAAGAAGGTACAGCAGGAATAAATGTCAGCTGCAAGCAGCCGGGGCTTGTAGAGGTCAGGAGCCTCCGGAGGTTCAAGGCGCCAGCACCAGGTGGCATGCCCCCACTTCCCTTCCTTGCAACACAGGGACAGTCCTCAGGCTAAAAATATTTCTCAGTAGGAAAACTTACAACCCCAAGGATGTGTGAGAAACAGGAAGGAAGGAGGCCGGGGAAGCTCTCACCAGCACAGCCCACCCATCCTCCCGACTTTCTGATATACTGAGACCAAAATAACCCAAGTCAGGTAAATCCAGAAGGTAGCGCAAGAGAAAAGCGGCAAGAGGTTGAACAGTATTTGAAAACACCCACAATGTCAATGGAAATACCGGTGCTGGAGCCAGGAAATTCTTGGTTGGTTGACAGATCAAGCAGTTCTGTGTCCCAAAGCACTGTGTAATTAAGCTTAACAAACTACAACGTTTACATCCCAGTGAATAGCTCTGTGAACTCAGGGACCCAATAAAACCATAGTAGCCAACCGATTTACCCCATTATTTCCTTTAACATTGCCCAATTTAAGATAATGGTGCATGTGCAATAGGTCAGAGGTGGTAAGAACGGTAACTCACCGCCTGCAACTAACCGTGTCAGAGATGGGAGCCATTTTTTATTTAAAGAGTCACTGTTCAAATGGGGAGTTGGGGAGAAGATCATTCTGGAATAGGGGTCTCCTACAATTATCACACAAACCACAACATTGTTGAGCGTAAAAGGAGTCTCTATTAATAATTATACTGAGACCACCAATACAAACCGAGACTGTCACAGACAAAGTGCAAGGTATAAAATCACCCTCCTCTGGGGACACACACACAAACAAAATCCAGTGATGGAGAACTAGACAAATACTATATGTTTACCTAACATGCTTTTTTAAATCTGCAAAAAAAAAAAAAAAAAAAAAGCTTAAAACTACATTAGAAATAAATAACAAAAATTCACTGTATCAAAGAGGAGCTAAGCAGGAAAAGAACAAAGGTAGGTGCTGAGCAGCCGGAAGGGAGGTGGCACTGGAGGGAAGCAGCTTAGTTTGGCTCTGAGGGCAAGTGTAACAGGTCACGTGACTGGGTTTCATTTATATGTTTGAATGGTTAAAATATGCAAATGGCTTCCTGAATGCATCCAGTTATGAAGCAGCCATGGTTTGGATGTGGTTTGTCCCCCAGAAAACTCATGTTGAAATTTGCTCCTAATGTCACCATGTTGAGAGGTGATGGACCTTTAAGAGGAGTCCAGGTCATGTGCCACCACCCTCCTGAAGGGTTAGTGCAGTTCTCCTGGGAGTGAGTTGGCTCACGTGGGAGGGGGTCAGTGACCGCGAGAGCAGTTGTAATAAATGCAAATTCAGCTTCCTGGGCTCTCTTTTGCTTCCTCTCTGACCATATGACCCCTTCGGCCCTGTCGCCATGTTAGGGCTCAGCACCAGTCCCTCAGCATGACCCTAGCAGATACTGGAGCCTTCCTCTTAGATGTCCCAGCCTCTGGAACCATGAGCCAAGATAAACCTCTTTTCTCTACGAATGACCCAGTCTGTGGTATTCTATTATTGCAACAGAAAACGGACTCAGACAGAAGCATCCTAGCAAATCCAGCATCCACAGGCCCCCCCACCCCTCAGGCACCCCCCCCCCCCCCGCTTCACCTGGGCTGCCCATGGAGGTGAGATATTTTCATCTCTATCAGTCAGATCCTTTGAAACTGATCTACTGATTGATGACATCCCCAGACTTTAGGATCTCTCCCTGAAACTCACACGGGGTCTACCATGATTAGGGTGCATGGCAGCATCTGGAGGGAGGAAGGTCCCTCTCACAAGCCAACCAAGAGAAGTAAAGCCCAAAGCTCCAGCTCCTCAGCTAGGAAACCTGCTACCCACTGGCTCACAGCGAGCTGGGTAGGTCCCCAGCAGCAGCCGTGTGTGAACCTTTGCAATCAAAGTACCCAGTGATGATGAGCCAGAGGCCCAGCAGGGAGGCCCAAAAGAGAGGGCAGCGCATACAAGGAAAGAGGGCAGCAAGACTTCCTCCTCTGCACCTCCCCTTCCCGCCTCCATTCACACCCGCTGTTCTCTCCCTCCCTGGGAGATTTTTAAAAGGAAATCACAGAGGATCAGGAAAAAAGCATGGCTGTCCACACTGAGTGGAAGTTCACACATTAACAAAATTGCCCCGTGATGCAGGCATCCCTCTCAGGGTATGCCAAAAAAGGTACCAATTCCAGTCCCATCACGTGCCATGTAAGTGGTCATGGATGTGTTGTTAGCTGCTCTGTTTCCTCATCTGTGCAAGGTCAGACATGACCCCTAGGGAAGATCAGGTCAAAGTGTGGAAATGTACCTGAAGGACCTAAAAGCAGACTGTGGCTGTACCCATTATTATTATTATTATCTGGAGATACCGAGG